GCGGAAAGACGCAGAAGTCGGAACCCTCACGGTGGCTCAAGACCTGGGACGGTGAGCAGACGGAGCCAAAGCGGGTCGAGGGACGAGTAAAAAGCGAGTCATCTCCAAATGGGCGACCAGTACGCTTTCCAAAGAAGTCTCAGTGTTTTGAGAGCATTCATCAAAATCTGAATCTGGATAAACATCAGTGCTCACAGGTAGCACGGCAGTTAGTCGACTCTGACTAGTCGACTCTGACTCCTGAGCTTCATATACTGGATTCGACTGCCCCACACGAAGGACAACGCTCCATCTTCACACTCGACTGAGGACTCAAATGCTAAATATCCCGACACATGCACATCCACTATACTAGACTAGAATGATACACGAACAACCCACTACGCTATAATGACACCCGTGATGGGAAACCAAAGTGACACTCCTTCAGTATGGAAGACGTTTCGTACACTGAAACAACCTCCTTGGACCTGGGCTTGAGCAAGTGGGAGTCGATTGAGTCAAGGATCGATATGAACATCATCTTTCTTCACACTGCATACGTTCCCTCCATGTCTCTCCCAAGTTGCCTGAAGTCAAGAACGTCTCCTCTTAAGGGTCTACACATACGATTCATCTATTCATCCTGTGTCGCATCGGAAACAGCTGCACCGGTCGCCTGGTGGATGTGCGAGAAGGGCTTGGCCGGCAGCGCCGAGTCCGAGACGAAGGCGAACTTGTCCCGGGCGTTCCCGGCGCCCAGGTCTTTGCCTCGAACCGTTGCCGTCGCACAGTCAGCACAGGGCGCGGCGCGAGGCGAGGAGGTCACGTCTAGTATAAGGGACGGGACGTCTATGGTCATGACGTGTAGACCTGAGGTGTAGCTCTAGCAATTTGGAGTGTTAAATTGTTTTATAGATGTTGTTTCAAAGGCCCAGCATCGAAAGTATTCAACACGTGGCAGGCTAGGAGGATGTGCACGTGCAATTCGGTCAAAGCTTGTGGATCTTGGGTTGTTGACTGGACAAATGATCCGGCTCCAAGCGGCTGAGCGCATAACTGAGCAGCTGATTCATGGGAGAGACCAAATCAGTGCAGTAGTAACTGGGAACCTCGCACACGACTACCGTCGATGTGGCGGACTCGCGGATGTTGCGCTTAAAAAGAACTCCCTCAAGTCCCGGCGTGAAGTCATTAAGCTAATTATTGCAACAAATACGAGTTTTTGCAGAACATGGTAGGGACCGGCTTGTGGTGCAATCCCCGCTTGAGGGGAGTCAGAGATTGTGCAATCCTCCCCATTGTGGGTTTTGAAAGGGCTGAGCAAGTCACTACCTGTTAAATGTTCAGCTAATCGGCTCTTGTGTCTTAAAATCACTATTGAGACAAAGCGAAGCACTGTGAGCAACAGATTAAAATTGGCAGCAAAAAACTCAAAATTAGTCACATGGTGGCTGATCTAAATTCCTGTTGATGTAAACGGCAGATATACTCTGGCAAATCTATTGCGAACCCCAGGATGAACCACAGGCTTAACCTTTGTGGGGAATCACACGCGAGAAGTCTTCCTCTGGCCCTTTTCCACATATTGTACAATGCAGGAGTACATATGAGTACGCTAAAACATAGCTTAAAGTCCATCATAAAACCTACACTGTGTAGGTTCCAGCACTGTGAACATGTACAACATGTTGGGTCTATGACACAAGATGTTGTTTTTAAAAACAATAAAAACACACACATCCATCTATATACTACCAAACACAACTGGACAGGTATGTTGATCAGTTTCAGATTTCAAGGGTAATTGAATGTCTGGACCGCTCTTGACGTCAACAACATGAATCGGCTTTAGCCTCCAAACGTATACACTGCAATTAATTATGGGAAAACATAGATCCTTTACCAACTTGTTTAAAGGTATATAAACCAACATTAATCAGCAAATTAAATATCAATAGTCAACAATTCAAAACCTTCCACAAAGTTTGCCCATTCCTGGTCACGTCTCCTCCCACAATTGTGTATACTATGCTGAGAGAGAAAGATCGATCTGAAAGAGAACTGCGTGAAGATCGATACACCGCCTCCACCTCCAAGGGACGGTGGGCACAGGCACGATCGGTGATTCCGCCAATTGCTGCTGACAGGATTGCTCTTTGCAATGAGCAAAGGCTCGATACTGCTCCTCCGCTCGATACTGGCGAATGGATTTTTGCCACCGGTGGTGAAGAAACGGTGGTGGTTTGAACCGGTGGAGGGGAAACGTAATACAAACAAAAACACATTCTGGCTGGCTCGAAATGGTTTGGAGACTTGTATCAAGAATCCTGATCGGAATATAGATTACCTTTTTCTGTTATTAACTGCACAAGCTGTTGAACATGTCAACCAGAAATCATGGGCCCTTTCCGTGAACAAACACAAAAACACATTCAACGACGCAAAACGGAAGGTGCTCCTTGCTCATCCACTGAACATCTGGTTTTTCACTTCAATCAACAGCACCGTCGCGGATTTAGTACGGCCGTGGTTTCTCTTTCAACACGTTTCGTCAGCGCAAGGTCTGGACTTCCCGGGCCTTCTCAGCGGAGTTGAAGAAAGCGGTCCACACGTCCTGGGGGGGCCACACGGCACTCAACAGAGTCAGGATATCGTGGTATGACTGATGTGGATTTCATACATTGGCTGGGGTGTTGCTGCTGGTATGAATGTGCGTGGCTTGGTATTGCTTCCGGACCAAGCGCGGCTGATCAATGCTGATTTAGATTGATACAGCGTGTGTTCCACACAGACTCCCTATTGTTTTGGCAGTTTTCGAGGCATCATCTTTGTTCTTTTTGCTGGTTCAACCAAAGATGTGGGGGATCGGCCACAAACCCAACATCTGTGTGACAAGTGCACTCACAATCCACCTGTTTTGCACTCGTGATTTCGGAATGCGTTCATCAATAACATGTTTTTCTTGGTGTATGTTTGACCACCCAACTAGATAAGTGAAATAATTGAAATCCTTTCGGCCTCAAGTGTGATCTCTAGAACCTCACGATGGATCATGGCAACCATGAAAAAAGTGTCCCAGAGACCAACGGGGCATCATTCTGTAACCAACTTGAGTTGCAATTAATCCCACATGCTTTGCTTGCATATGAGAAAAGATAGGAAGATGAAGGCATGTGACAGCGACAACAACAATGAAATGGCGTATAATCAAAAGAGGAAAGCTCCAGGTGCGAAATGCACCACGCACCATTTGTTGGTGAACTGACCATCTTTTTTCACTTCGTGGCAGTGGCAAAATCCAGACAGTGGAAACTTTCATAAGAAAAGAGTCAAGGTTGGAGATCTTGTCTACGGCCAAGAACAAGAAGTAAACTCTGGGACCTCAGCTGGCACAGTGTATGGCAACGTCGTCACTGCACCTTGCAAAGCACTCTTGCTTGTGGGAAAAGGCGGGTTACTATCTATAGGTTCGCAAGGCCAACGTTCATCCATGTCCGCTTGAGACAACCATCGAAGCCGTGCCTCAAAAAACTTCCTCTGCAACACCAGTACATCTAAATGTATGCAAATCCTTTGAGTGATCAGCTGCAGGCTCTGTAAGAAACATATTCCGCCATATTCCATTTCTATAGGATTTTTAAACATCAGGAGCTGTTTGAGGGAAAAGGTTGGAGATATGTCCTACAACTATCTCTATGTCAACCGGGTTGAACTATCTCGATCTCAACAGACAATGAGAAATGTATCAAAGTGAATGGAACCAGCAACCCCTGGGTAATCATGTACATCAGAATCTAAAAGTGTGAGCCAAATCTTCACGTGAGCCAAGGCTTGAGAAACTCATCCCACCAATGCTGAGAAAAACAACCAACTCCAGTCATTTCAGGGATTTGTTAGTTGTGAGTAATTCATTTTGACAAAGCTCTTAAGCTCACTGCATCCCAGAATCTCTTCCCTGGTCAGCTCTATAAACCAATAACCCTCGCTGGCCTCGTTCATCCGCCATCAGGGACTGATTCCCGCGCAGGTGAACCACTGCAGCCACTGCATCCAGCGACAAAGCAAAAGCAACCCCGAGCCATGCGCGCATTGCTGAGCTACGTTACACCCGGCTGAGAAAGACTCCCGGCCGGGGGTTTCGGAGACGACCCCCGTTTTCGGTGGAAAACGGTATGGGGGCCGAGACTGAGCCAAGAACGAGGCAAAAGCAGTGCAAAAGAGTCTAATTTGAGATGTGACACACTTTTTTCGTGGGCTTTGCATGGTCTGTCCAATGTTGGCATAGAAAAGAGATAAACACACACTCATCGGGAGGTCGTCTGGGTCACGTAAACAAACGGATGTCTGTTATGTAGTGGGTTGAGATGGCACAATCCCCAAGTTTGGTGGTTTATATGGACGCCATATATAAAAAACATCTTGGGGTGCCAGTCCCATCTACGCTCACTCCACTGTCATCAACTGTTGTTTTGCGAAACGGGCCCGTGTACACCTGGCAAGGTCTGCACATATCGTCGGTCGCGACGAACCCCCCCAATCCCCTTCGTCGCGACTTGGTCCAGCAATTCTCCGAAGAAGAACCGAGTGAAAGTGCCCTTGTTCAGAAGATAGTATGCCGGTGGCCGGTGGCCGTTTTATGGCAACCGGCTGGATTGAAATCCTGGCACCTGCCACTCCTGAGGCGAAAGAATGCAAAGAATGGCTCGGACGTTATCAAACGCCTCTTGGCTGGGTATTCAATTTGACGAGCCTCCTCAATCAATTGGTCAAACAAGGCACCAGCCTTGAGCGTGCCACCAGGTGGATGATGCTGTTTTTCGGTTGTATCATGCTGCATCCCCCAAAAGAGGTTTTCTCTGTCAGACCCAAAGTCTCACGCGCAACTCAATCCTTTCAAATATATAAGTCCACTATACTTGGTATAATCCCCAGAAGTACCCAATTGCCCTTCTGCAGTGGTTGGACCTGCTGCTTTACCTGTTCTGGGGCAATTTTGAACGTCCACCCCGGCTGCCGGCCTCCTTAACATCAGCGTCCATGGCACGGCATGGCCGCGTTTGAGCGGTTTTACCGTGTTCCGCACATAACGGCAGTGCAATTCCTCTTGCACTTCAAAATGAGGGACCTCATTGATGCTGGTGCCAGTGCGCGATCCCTATCCGAGGTTGACACTCACATGCACCACTGAACCGTCCGCGAAAAAACAGCTGAGGTGCTGCCAATTCCCTCCAACTGAATTGACCCGGAATTTTGGACCACACAATGACGTAGCAGTGTATCTTTCGATCAACACTGATCATGATTGTTTTCCAAAGAGGTTTTGAAGTCAACTGACTTGCTCTGCTTGTCACCTCTGAAGTCTGGCATTGCAGCCTGCTGCGACATAAATGAAGCTATCCATTCTTGCCAGAAACATTCCTTTCTTGTTACCTCGCAAACAAAATACTGAGAGTACCGGGACTTTGCACTAGAAAAATACCACTTACACCATCTGACAAACAAATGGTGAGACTATGTGAGACTGCAATACGTACTAGTAGTTTCAAGAAACAACCTCTTGCCAGATTCGTTCGGAAACCTATCATCCCCCTATCCCATGATATTCCTTGGCTCAGCAGATTGGGATCTTGGCTCATTGGATGTGAAGGGGGAGCACAATGAACACAAAGAAACATGGTAGATAAACACTCCATTGCAAATGCTGGGCCCCTCGATATATATATATATATTATATACTTGTTTTTTACACTGGCGGAGGAAACAAAACACACAGAAATGTGCATGATGATCTTTATATAGTAAATATGTTCGATCATCTTTTGAACCAAAGGAGTCTATAGGGTCAGGTTCCAAAATCTTAGTTGGAAGACTTCAACCACTTCCGACACACCTTTTTCATACATTTTTCCCTCTTGAACACACACATATACTAATCAACCAATATTCCACAAGTCCTCCCAACTCCCAACAATCAACTGTTCTCTCCATTTTCAGCGGCCGTCTTTGCGCGCTGAGCTATTCCTGAGCAACACCAGTGCGGAGCTCGGCCAGCAAAACCGGGCTTACTTGGTGCCCAATCCGAATGCCCATCCGGATGCTAATCTTACATACACACACACTGGCTGCTTGGGACCATAAGGATTTCCACGACAACTCCTGTTTTCTTGTGGGGAGGCACAAACAAAACAACACGCCCACTTTTCTGGTCGACGCGTTCCCTTGCTCTTCCAAAAGTTGGGCTGAAGTCGGAACATACAAATTTCACCTCTGCCAACCAATGAGCACACTTCACCCGAACATGTAAGCAACAGATGTGTCATCAATTTTCCTTTGACCTAAACACCTGACATTTCGACCAATTCCAAACACCCGTCTTGACAAGAATCTCACAAAAAGAAACACTGCAGGACTTGTGCTGAGACCATCGGCCAGAAGCGAGAGAAGTGTGGGGCAACTTTTGGCTGTATCGCCATACTCTAAGCACGACCTAAGACCGATCAAACCACTTACAATACAACTTGGGAGGATGTTCAACATGTTCAACATCGACAACCTCTCGAGTGCCAATTTGACAGTGTATCGGTGACTCCTCACCAACCTGTCCACTTGAAAACAAAACAATTGCTTGTCTCCGGACTGTTGGCTCTCCCAATATCTTTCTCACCTTTTTTGAGCTCCGCACACAGGATCGAGTCGAAAATTCCTCAATGCCTGGCACTGCATGGGAGATACAGTCATCTGGTTTGGTTCTCCATGTTTCTGTTACTTCAGTTTTAAAGTTAATTTCTCAGGGACTCGGACAGCGATTATACATTAGTTGGCAAGGACATGCAACCAAATTGAACAAGTAAGGCTCGGGGAAAAGATGTCTGAAACATCCAGGAAGTACTTTAGTTGGTCTATAGTGTGCGTCAGGGCATGTAGCGTTTGAAAGGAACAAGCAAGTAGTAGTAGTAGTAGTAGTAGTAGTAGTAGTAGTAGTAGTAGTAG